AAAATATCATGAGGTTCTTACCCTAAATTCCGCTGAAGAAAATGCACCTTTTCTTTCAGCTAGTCAGTGAAATACACAAAGGATGTGATAGTCAAAGAACAAACAAGTCCCCTATTAGAACAAAGGACACTATTGCATGTGCTGAGCCCATTTTACTCTGGAATTGTTTCATCCACTGTTTAATACAGATGAGTTTCTAAGCAATCCCCGGGTGCCCAATACACAGAGAAAAGTCTATTTGTTGTACGGCTCAGTTTCTTATTTTTCTGAAGGACAATAGAAAACCCCTGTGCTTCATAGGTCTTCTCTGCCAAAGTACAATAGAGCTCTTGTTACATTTTCAGTTAAGTTATTTATACATTATGATGGCTTTCTGAGGTGGTGTTCTTCACCGCACGTCTACAGAGAGAAGTAGAAAAGTAGCATCATTACGTATTAATCAAAACCTCAGGACTAGTAGCAGAGAAAATCTTCCCTTAATTCTGTTACAGAGGGTGTTTATGTGTACGTTTTAGTGGAGTTCAAATCAGAATGAATTTCCTAAAGAAAAGACATCATTCCTTGCACAGGAAGAGCTGCAGGAGGTTCATGGGCTGTCACAGAGAGGAACAGAGAGGAGTCTGTCTTCATGTAAAACACAGTGTCTCGGAGGAAACAGGGTGACCAGGGTGGCAAATGCTCTTTGTTACCACAAGAAATATTTAGAAGTTACATAGTTTTGCTCAGCTTTTAATTGGGGTTTAAGAGTGTCATTGCCTATCTAAAATTCAGACAGACGTATTTAGCTTGCCAGCATCCAACGGTAGAGCTTGAAAGCTACTAGATAGCAAAAAAATTAACTGACTAATAATAATATTAATTCTGAACAAGAGCAGACACTGTGTCACGTGCTGTGGCCATGTGTGGTCTCATGTAGGAAGTCTGATGAGAGTACAGCAGTTCCTGTATCCGTATCTGTAACATTAAATGCTTTTTTCTTTCTAGCATTGCAGCTTCCAGTACATAGGTAGGAAACAATCCAGAGCATTTGGTCCTCATTAGAGCAGGGTAGCCAACAATGGGCTATCCTTGTGGGGTCTCTCTGGGCAGCCTGAAAGCATGGCTCTGAGAGATGTTGTATTGAAATTAGTTTGAGGACCGTACCTAACTGCTACATTGGTTGGGTGTGAAGTGCCACATATGCTGTTGTCTGCTCTACGCAATCTGCACTGGTTGAACTCAGTGGACAAAGCTAAAACCTCTCCATATGCAGAGGTGGACTGACAATAGAGCTGATCTTTAAAAATTAGAGATAATTAAACTCCAAAGCAGGAGCAGGAGGAAGAAACAGTAACACAGAAATGGAAAGCTGAGTGTCTGGTATGGGTGTCTGCTCCGGTAGTGGTTCACCACTGATCAAAGCCCACTGGAAAGAACATCCATGTCCCCACCCTGGGAGAGCCCAGGGGCACACTAGAGCTCAGCACAGTGGGAGCACGGCCCTGAGGAGCCAGCAGATGCTCGCCACGTGCCCCCTGGAAAGGACTAGGAAGAAGAGCGCCTTGGTTTGTTTCCAGGAGGCAGGGTACAACCACGGTTAGGCTTTGTAATGCCTCCCTCAGAAGCGATTGCTTCTCTGGCAATCGCTAAGTCTGACTTAGTGAACACTTTTCAAATTACTGTCGAGGCTGCTTCATATATCTTGGCATTGACCCAAGATGGGGTCAATGACCCAGGAAGGGGGATGTGTGTGTAGATAAGCATGTAGGTTTGTGGACGAGGTGTTCACGGTGATTTTGGACTCTGTGCCCAGCAGCCCAGGTGTTGCTGTCTGGAGAAGAAAGTGGTTACTGCACAAGTATGGCAGAAGCCACGTGCTTTTGCCGGGGGGCCAAGCAGCCCTGCGGCCGGCTGGCAAGCGTCGGGAGAGCGCACAGAGGGGGCCGTGCCGGAGCTGCCTCCATCCTGCCTCTCTCCTGCTGCATCTGCACGAGGTGCCTGGAGCATGCTTTTCCTCCATGTTATATACAGCAACACCCGTAGTGAAAATCAGAAAGTACAGCTGCACAAAAAGCACTTGTTTTACACCTGTCTAGTGTAAAACCACTGCCTTTTCACCCACATAATTTAATTCATTTAATCTGATACTTTTTGCGAATCTCAGAACTACTTATGAATATCACCAGAAGCCCACGACACATCTCCCTTAGCTCCTGTGTTCGATAAGGAGCACTGGGCCTGCATTTTACCGCAGCTCATTTTGGCACTAAGTTGGGGCAAGATTTGCAGGGGTGCAGCACCTCATGTTGTGACGCAGACACCTCTGGGTGCAAAAGGAGGCAGCAACCACTGGCTGACATGGCAGGTTCCCTCTTTGGAAAGTCTGGCACGGGTTTAACAACACACCGAAACACTTTCTGAAGAGGAAGACCAGGAGAATCGGTTATCACAGTGGAGCTATGGGGCATATTTAAGGAGCTGCTGTAGCCATTGCAGCATGTGAATAAAGACACTGTGCATACTGCAAGCCAGTCTGAACTGAAGAGAGATTTCTGCTAAAGTTGCAGCAGCCACCTCCTTTGCTGTTTTATCAGTCGTGGGCCAAGTGTAAGTCACAGGCGCACTGAAGAGAGGCACTGTCAGGGTGACAGTCTCTCGCTGTGGAGGAAAAAAATTGTTCTGGTCTGTCCAACCAGACTGCCCAGGGACTGAGAGGAATTTGGCAGGTCCCTTCACAGCTCTGACAATGATTTGTTGTGTGGTTTGGGGCAGCTTGTCCATTTAATCACTGTATCGCAGCTTGTGCACACATTAAAGCAAAAAGTATGCATATTTAGCGGGACTGTCTTGCGATTTATATTTATACAGCATATTGCGAATTAGAAGCATTACATATCATCTACTGCTGTTGCTACTAAATCAGTAGCAGACTGCTTCAGGTGATGTTCTTTTGAGTTTTGTGCCAATAGTTGAGACTACTTTTGGTTTGGATTTTTTTTAGGCCATATATGTACATTTATGGTCCTGCATTATTAATAGTTGCTTAAAATTTTCCACAGCTCTGGATACTTCCTTTCACAGGAAAATACAACAGAAAAGGAATCTGGAATATATTGCTTGCTACCGTACCATAGTGATAGAAGTACTTCACACAGGGGTAGTAAGACTTGCTGCAGTAAGTTCCGCTGGTTTGTACAAGGCAGGCAGATCCTAACAGGCGCACATGTGTGTAACTCCATTAACTTGACAAGAGCGATATTAGTTTAGCCAAGGAAGTGGCCCTGAGGATCTTTTTATACGTTAGAGTTATTGGTTGAGTGGGACGCATTCAGTCACTGTATTATGTATTTATATTTGTATTTATGAGTCAGTCAATCAGGGCTTCATTGGCTTTTTGAGAATGTCTCAACTAAACGGGGAGAACAACATTATTCTAAGGAGAAGTTGCTAGTAGAATTTTTTCCACTCACCTGTTTTTGAGGTTTTCCTTCATTTATTCAAATGTGAACAACAGCCATCTACCTGCATCAGCTCCCTGTTGCACTTTCACTTGTCACACTGCTGTTAATTCAGAATCAAATCACTGATATGGTTTCAAATGCATACCTCAACCATGGACAACTAGTGACCATCATTATCACTGCAAATGCACGCCAGTCATGATGACTACGAAACCTCTGATATATATTCAAGTATGCACCATTATAACTGATGCATAAAATTCTAGACCTGTACTTAAATGTGTATCGCCATAATTAAGCCATAAAAAATGCTTGCAAAAGCAGCCAGGCATTTATCCTCATTAACAAAAGAGATTTTTAAAAAGTTGTTTTCCTGAAAACACCATTATTTTAAATCTGTGCTCTGTGCCTAGTTCTTAGAGAGAACTAACCACATTTAAGGTTGGAAGCCTCGAAATCGAAGCCAATAATGGAGTTATGATTTTCTGAAAATGCCACCCATTCCTCTTCAGTAAACCTGTTATTCAAAAGTACTGCTGCTGTTTTCTAGCCATAAGAAATTGTGCCAAAATACTGTACCCTCAATGAGTTTCTGATAGAAAGAGTCTTTCGCCATTCCCTGTGCAGTTGCATTTGAGATTCCAAAATACAGAGATCTCCCTTGGATCATTTTATAGCTATTTTTTGTTTCATATTTATCATTTAAATTTGCGAAGTGAGAAACATTAATCAGTGCTCTCACGGGGCAAATGACCGAAGCTCTTGGATTGACATCCCGAATGTAGGTAATAGGAGCATTGGTGAGAAGTCAGTGCCATCCTAACAGCAGGCTTTCCATGCAGTGATGCTCTCTAAGCAGCAGGTGTCATGTTGTTCTGAGACCTGCTGCTATAAAACTAAAAAGTTTTCATGTCTCACTATACTCTCTGATAAGGTAAAAGATGCTGAATACAGAAAAGTGATATATAGAGCAGATTTCTTTCTAGCTTAGGAATAGACAGAGCTTGGTTACATGGCCAAGCGCGATCTCTGGCCACTTGTTCATTACAACACCATGGCCCAAAGAGCCAAGTGATTACCAATAGCTTCAGCTCAGATCTCCCCTGACAGTAAATGTGTACACATTTTCATTTCTGACAAACCCACCTGATAAGTAACTTCTATTAATTTATCAGCAGATATACAAGCACATGCCAATATTATGAACGTATCCATTTTTTATGTTGAGGTCATTTTAAAACTCTTATTATTTTAAAACTCTCCAGGTTGTTTGATTTCTAAATGACGCTTCTTGTAACTGCCATTATTTACGGGCAAACAAAACTGTAGGCATCAAAAAGAGGGCCTACGCCTTCAGAATCTAAACTAATTATTGCTCCATCTGGCGTTGGCATATAGTCAGCATGGCTCTCATTTGCACAGGGTTTGAGCTGTCCTCTCCTAGAATAATGATTAATAGAAGAATTTTAAATATTAGTTTGTTTAAACTGTAGAAATTTCTTGGTTTGTGCTTAGTGCTGCTAGTCGGTATCTTACTACACTGTGCTTCATTTATTCCAGATAATTGATAAGAGCAAGAGAGACCCCTCTGAAGAAATTGAGATCCTCTTGCGATATGGACAGCATCCAAACATCATTACTCTTAAAGATGTGAGTAGTCTTTGAGCACTTCAGCATTAAATGATTTTCACCTTATGGTCAGGCTCACCTACTTGTCCATGTCTGGAAAATTCTTCAGCTGAAGGTCCAAGCTAAAACCAGGCCCATTGAAATCAAGGAAAGAAACGTGACTTAACAAATTACTGAATAGCAGTTGGAAAGACTGGTCAGGTTATACATTCTCCAATTACTGTCTAACCAACTGTAAATAAAACCAAAGGGGCACAGTGCTGGAGAACAACAAAATGTGTTTGGTTTTGCAGCACTTTTCAGAAGTGAGATCTCCCTAGTTGGGTGTTTTGGAGCAAGCTGCTGAGCACACGCAGCGGTGCTGCTGGGCAGGGGATGCTCGTTCATGAGCAGCAGCCGTTCCCATGCAGCCTGTGGTATCTGCTTTGTTGGGAAGAGGAGAGCTCACAAAATCGCTAGGGTTTCCCCCGATAGTGTTTTAATGCCAGGGAGTATTTACCTTCTACTCAAGCAGCCTGAGAAGACGTGAAGGTATCTTTCTTCAGCATTTCATATGAAGAATAGCCTTTGCTATGCTTACATGCAGTAATGACCTTTAGTCAGAGATGTTTTACTTACACTGCCTGCAGTCTCACCTAGGATTGTCCACACTGTGTCACAGATTCAGAGTTTACAGAACAAAATCCTGCTGGTGTCAGTGGCCAGTATGTTATGGTTCAGACCTTAGGGAAGTATATAAAAAATTTCTAATCGCATGCAGTCAGGAAAGTCTTACCTAATTCCTAAGTGTTAAAGAATATCTTAAAATCTGTGCAAAAAAGGTTTTATATTCCCTTCCAAAAACATTTAGCATTGATGACTATAACACCGCCTGTTATTGCAGTCCAGATAAAGGATTATGACATGAAAATGGCTGTCTTCCAATTTAGACAAAAAATGTCGTTTACCCCTTGCAATTGACGTTGAAGGTAAATACATCTTGCGGCTCATGTCAACAATGTATTCACCAGAATTGCAAATATAAACTATCTAATATCACTGGAAGCAGGTCTGGGCCAACAGTATAATACAGTTCATTTAGCTGATCGTGAGTCAAAGGGAAATATTGATATTTGAAATGGCAAATGTTACCCTGTAGAAGTGGAAAGAGAGAACACTACTGAGAAGGAGGCTTGGGTGAGAGCCAGCAGACATTTCAGGCTGTGTGAAGTGGTGCTGCTTTTAGCAGCTTGGTCTACTCTGCTGACACGATAGCAGATCAGGAAAGCTACGTTTCTGTGTGGACAAATCAGCAAGTTGCTGCAGACGTGAGAAAAAAGTGATGACTAAGTCATTTTATAAAGTTGCCTTTTCTATTGCTAAGCGTAATAAGCACATTTCCCACACATTAGCTGACATTTTCTTCTTGCAACATCTCACAGAAGCAAGCCAACACTGTGATTAAAGGACCAACCGTTACCAAGTTAATGGGTCCAAAACATACATTTATTCTATTACTCTTCCAGGTCTATGATGATGGGAAATATGTGTACCTGGTGATGGAGCTGATGCGCGGAGGCGAGCTCCTGGACCGCATTCTTCGGCAGAAGTGTTTCTCAGAGCGGGAGGCCAGCGCTGTGCTGTGCACCATCACCAGGACTGTGGACTACCTGCACTCTCAGGGCGTAAGCATTGCTTTTTTGGCTATCCGCATCAACCTTCTTAAAATCCAACTTTTAGAAAAAGCAAATAGCTGTGATTTTGCTTCTCTGAAATGTAAATACGTTTTTTCCTCAAAAAAAAAAATCTTTCTCCATATTTATAATTACATTTGGTTTGTGAAATAGGGTCATAGGCTTTTTAGCCATTTCCCAGCTGAACTGCAGTATGTTGAAGTGGTATTTTCATTCCCAAACTACGCTGATTTTCAAGTTCATGTACCTTGTTGAGATATTACTTGTTTACTTTTTATCACAGTTATTATTGCAGTACCTGATCTTTTAACAGAACTTCAAATAGAGTAGCTGAAGCAGCAGATAGGTAGAAAATCAAATGCTCAGCTTTCCAAATGAAGTGGCAGTTTGAGCAGCTGATGGGAAAGGCTTCTGACATGCTGTTAAAGAGCTGGCTTTTAAAATCTAAGCTCTCTATATACAGCAGTTTGAAAATCCTTTTCCACTTTTCAGAGACAAGCAGTTTGGATGACTAGTCAAATATTTGCTGCTTTTTCTGTTTCATGGATAAAACAAGTGCATTTTGTGCTTGGGCTTTTATGTTTTCATGATAGTTTTTCAGTCTTGCTATAACAAATAAAGGCTGTTTTCCCACCACTGAAATGCAGCATGTCTGATAAAACACGCAGCCACTTGAAGTTGCGTGCCTACAGAAAGGATTTTTGTGAATACATTTTGAAATGAGGAAAAAAAATAATCCCTCCCTTCAGGTGTGAGCCACTCACATGGACAGAGGCAAGAAGACCCTTACACACTTTGCTCCTATGATGGGATTTCTTCTTCGCCTTTCAGCTGAATATTTAAGGCCATCAGGTTCCAGGAGACTCTGACACCGAGGTGTTTGTACAGCAACCCCCTCTGACCGCCCTCAGGAAACGTGTCCCCCCCTTAGAGCAGCAGCCACTATCTCAATATACCAACAGAGGCTGTCGAGCATGTTCTTTCTGATTTTAACAGACTTCAACTTTTTTTTTTCCTTCGTTTGCCCAAGGCTTTTAAGCAACTTTTCTCCAAAACTTAAATATTTTTGGCATGAGCTCTTGACCTACCTCAACCAGCAGACCAGAAATGGCAGCCAAGCCTGGATGCTCCCTGACCTCCTCTCCTCACTTGTTACTCACTGCTTTCTTGTTAAGGTGGTGCACCGAGATCTCAAGCCAAGTAATATCCTCTACATGGATGAGTCAGGAAACCCAGACTCCATCAGGATCTGTGACTTCGGGTTTGCCAAGCAACTGAGAGCGGAGAACGGGCTGCTCATGACTCCCTGCTACACGGCCAACTTTGTCGCCCCTGAGGTAGGATCGCATTTCAAAGCCGTGAGTAATGAGCGTGTCCTAGGAAGCAGTCCTTCCTCCCTCTCTCCCTTTTCTTCACTGCCTTTACAAGAGGAGCAAGGCAGAAACCAGGCTACCGGCATTTGCACAGTCTCTATTACCATAACTTTCCTATTCCCCGTCTTGTCAGGGCAGTTGTTTTTCTCCTGACAGAAGCCGGTGTCTGTCTTGGACTGACGTACACAATGCTTTGGCTCGTTACTAGGATAAATATCTTTTTTTCTCTAGCTGCTTCTGCTCAGACTGCTTCCCCTCTAGTGCACTGTGTCAGAACGGGATAAGGCTTAAGAGGGAAATCTTGATGTCAGGAATAAGACTCAAAAGAAAAATCCATGCATGAAATCCTTACCACGCTGAAGTCAGTGGGAGCTTTATTGTTGACTTCATTGAGCTAAAGAAACATCTCTCCTCTTGGGCTTTCCCAGTACCAATCCCCCCTGTTATAGGGGATGTAGGAAAGGGCTGCTTTCCTGTTTTTACAGACGGGGGAATGGAGGAAGACCAAACAGCTTGCCCCAAGCACGGGGAGAGGTGGCTCTGCATCGCTGGCGAGTGCTGTTCCTCTCATGCAGCCCCACGGGAGTGCATTTGGGTCCCAGAGCTGTTTGAATGGTTTGGGCTGTTTGCTGTATTTGACCCTTGAGGCGTTCACAGCTGCTTCCTTCTAATGAAGGAGCAAGAGGTTCATTTACTGGATAATTGTCCATTTCTTGGAGTGACGCTTATCAGAAATTTTAGTATTTGCAATGCACAACTTCAAATGTCTGTCTTCCTCTGCTTGTTATGGTCCTTATAAGAAAAATACAAAACTATTGCCTTTCAATACTTCATCTGTCCTCTACTGTCAAATACCACTGTCTTTTAGTTGTATCATTCAGCAATCTTTTCTTCCCCATAACTCTCCTCCATCCAGTGTTCATCTGCGTGGTATGTAACTGGGAAGAGAAAAATGGAATGATCTTTCTGTACAAGGTCCTTTCGTGACACCAAAAGTTAGAGGAACCACAGCCTTCCAGCACCAGAAGGAGAATTTGTTAAATTGAGACCATTGCCAGGGCAGTATAAATTCAAAGCACATTTTTTTCAACAAAAATTCTTCCATTGCCAAGACAGATTGGTGGTTGGGTTTTCATTTTAGAAACTGGAATGAGCTGTTTAAAATTTATCAAAATACATAAAAAAAGTTCTGTGGCACCACAGCAGTTCAATTTCTAAACCAAAAAATAATCACGTTTGCAAGATTTAAAGCACTCAGATTTTCCCCAAGATACAATACACTTAAAATAGGTGTAGCTATTTTTCATGACAGGCTATTTTGTATAGTGTCTGTAATCACAAATGTTGCCAGCCCAATGCAGTTTCAGATCAGACTCTTCGGATTTGAACTGAAAGCAGAAATCACGCTCCCAGACATTTGTGATGAGTAAGACAGGTCCTGCTAATGCAGGAAACGTTGGAGATTAATTGAAACATTACCAGAACTGGCAGAGAGCTTACATAAAGCCTTAAGTGCTTTTACATTTTACCTGTGATATAATGCTGCCCTCCAGCCTAGACTTGACTTTCACGTTCCCCATCTGAGCCCTGCTGCGACGTCTGCCATACGCCCATGAAACTAAACAAGGCGGCAGAAAGTCAGCTGAGCTGATGACACAAGAGGACAGTAACAAAGGAAGGAGGACATGTTTGCCCACTTGGATCTCCCTTCGTTTCGGGAACATTTAATTTGGGGTTTAGAGGAGAACATGAGCAAAGATGAAGGCTATCGGAGAGAAGACGCACGCTGCCACCTAGTGCAAGTCACGCTGCATGCAGGGAGCGAAGAGCGAGCCTGGGTCGGGGGGAAAACGCAGCCTGCTCTTTCCCTGCTGATGCAGTAGGGTCCTTTTGGATAAAGTAAACAGATTTTATTCTGCAGTTTTCCTCCAAAATCCGTGAAGAACTACCGTTTTGGCATTTGAAATTATGAGATTGTTTATTAGCTTTCATACCCATGCACATCCCTGCTTGTGTCACAACTGAGAAAAGCCTATATTCCTAACATTGTTAATCCAATAAATCAAAGCCTATAGAAATAAAGGGGGGTTGGATAAATATCTGAGCCGTTATCAGAATTGGATGAACCCAGGGGAAGTTTGTTCCTTATCACCACAACGCCCTGCCACGTGTGGCGCCAAGAACCAGCTCATGCCTGTATTTCAGATCCCACCAAATTCTCGAGGTGACCTAAACCCCTTCGTGGGTGGTAAATTGCTCAGCATCCATTAGAGCAGGGCACCACCGCATCTTCTGCAAAGCTCTTTCCCTGACCAATTTATTTTTAAGACACATGCCTGTTTGATAAAATCTGCCCCCTAGATCAAACACTAATCTTTTTGGCCAAGGCTTCCCACACTGGCTCCTGCCAGCTCAGTGTTCTCGCTTTAACCACAGTTGCACAGACCTGCTGGAGACATTTTCAAATAGCAGCGACACTAACTGATAACTCTCACTGGATCCTGTTGTTACCCGTGGGGTGAAGTTGTTGTCAATAAAAAGTAATTGCCAGCAAAGCTTTCCCTAGACACTGGCACAGAGTGAATGTCCCTGTTATCTAGCAGTGTTCTTGCAAACTGAATGATAGCACACAGCGACACCTGCCCATCATTTCGGGGTTGTGTAACCACTTGCTTAATACCCTGCTCCACTAAATACCACCACTGCCCCACTTTTCTGTCATTTGCCTTGGACTTGATTGTCCTTGGTTATTGGAGGAAGACAGTGATGGCAATGAAAATGTAACTGTTCAAGAAGCAATGAGAATGGCCACACCAAAAGATAAATGTTGGGTATTCAGTCTCACAGGTGAAGCAAGAAGCAACTGAGTTTGTCAAATAGCAAAGAAGTTTTTCCCATAAAAACTAACATTAACAGAGGGGGAGTGAATGCAGGAACTAAAGAAACAAACAAAAAAACCAGCCAGAGAGCATATACGTGATGTGCAGGAGAGAGAGGCAGAAGCAGGATTTTACCAGCTTTGTCAACAGGAGGAAATGTGGCTTTTTCTTCTTTTTTTTTTCCCAGGTAGCAAATGTTCGCTCGGCAGCATACCTGGCAGATGGTTGCTTTACCACTCATCATTTGTAAAATCTGTCGAGGCAACATTTTCTGCAACTGTTTTTTCCTAGCAGTGCTTGGTCTTTTCTGTGATAGACTTCAGACAGCTGAAGTCACTCCTGGGTAATAAGGCTGCAGGTCAGAGAAAGACTTGCTGAATTTGTACATTCCTTTTTCATGTGCTTTGCAAAAAATTAATGTACCTACTGATGCATCAGAAGGGGACAAAACTCTCCTTGTGTGTCAGAACTGAAGAAACAGAAGGGTAGTTTGCTTTTACAAGCAAGTGAAAGATCCGGAGGTGGTCCCTGAGCTTTTCTGAGCCAAACAGAAACAAAGTTCTTCCCCTAATCTCAGCAATGCTACTTCAGTTGGTGACTTCACTTTCACTTGGACCTGCACTGACTCAAATAGGCATTTCTTCTAGTATGCACTAGCATAAATGAAATCTAGATTTTACCCTTACTGCTATAACTCGCCATCCTGTACCAATATTGAACCTCCTGGTCAGATCTCTGCTGAGTACCATGGGTCTTGTTTTCCCCATAGGAAAAAGGGATCAAGTTTTAGCCTGTTATCTGTTAAGTCCAGTCTAAATGTGGCCACTTTTCTTAATACAGAATTAAGATAAGAATAAGCCTTTTAGCTTTCTTTGCAGTTGTCATGCATCTTTATTAGTCCGACATTAGATATGCGTTAGCGTGCAACCGTTTGTTGTATCAAATCCAAACTGAGCTCAGACATGCTTATCACTGTCACTCTGCCCTACACTTATTGCAGCCACAGTGTTCTTGGTAACCTTTATGTTAGGAGGATACGTTTCAAAGTATTAACGAGCTTTTTTTAAGAAACATTTTAAAACACTGAAATGTTGTTCTGCTTTGCTGTGTGTTAGATGGTCAGAGAGGCTCCCAGAGCCTCCAACAAACTGCACTCATCTCTGTCACTGTGGAGGTGACAGAGGTGCTGGGCTTGAACCCTAACCAGCTCATTCTAGCCTGGGCTTCACCTTGCTCCATACCACTGCTGAACATTTTGATCCTGAGGCAGCCACCTGTTCAAGCCAGATATGCAGTTAAGCCCTGGAAGTGTCAGCAGATACAACCCCTAATCGGTGCTTTTTGAAGATCAGAAGCTAAAAATTCAGGAATGCAGATTAACCTATTTTCGTCTCTCTCTTTCCTTCACACAGGTCCTTAAACGCCAAGGTTACGATGCAGCCTGTGACATCTGGAGCTTGGGGATCCTACTCTATACCATGTTGGCAGGGTGAGTGAAGAGGTTTTCCTAGAGCAGCAGTCTCCAGTGGGCTCAGCACTTCAGCACTGACTAAGCCAGAAAGGAGTCACAGATAGAGACAGCAAACTGTCTGGCCTCCTTTGAGAAATGTGCTCAGTTGTATGAGGCAAGAAAATAGATGCCAAGACCTAGAATTAGAATAAGTTTTTCCAGAATGCTTAAATATCTTTGACACTTTACAAGTTGTTTAGTTTTTTAACAGCCTGTGCCCGTAAGTGTTCACTGAGACCTAGACTCCTAAAAGGCTCACTCACCACTTAAGCAGCATGAAAGTTTTACACTAGGAGAGGGGTGTAGGACTATGAAGAGCCATATCATGTTCACCTTATCCATAAGAGGATGTTCATTCATATCTATTAATACATGTATTCTCTTCAGCTTCATTCTTCATCTACTGTTGTTGTTATCAAGGTACCTGAGCACCTTTAAAGGCTAAAAAAAAACCCCCAAACATAGTTTTCAGATGCTATTTGAAAAATACGCTGCAGAAAGGACAGAAAGTAAATGAACAGACCAGCAAGAACAGCAACAGGCAGCAGGAACTTTTGGGGGGTACTTGGCAAAAAACCCCTACCAGTGTGTTGGCTAAAATTAAATATTGACACAAGAAGACCCAGGGAAAGAGACAGACTGAAATAGGCAGTGCAGGATAGGAATAAGATGCACTGGGGTGAATGGGAAACACAGTGCACAAACCCAATCTGGAGTTATCAGGCCCCTGAATTTCCTCTCTTTTGCTGGCTGCAGGGTATGGTATGTGCATATTTATCGTACCTAAGTGCAGCTTGAAACTTTTCAGTGACCTCTCACAGCTCTTTAATCTGCTTCATGATCATTCAGCTGTGGCAAGAAGCTTGGATTCATTCCTAGATTTATACAGAAAACAAAGAGTTGGACCCTACCTTTTTGTTATTCATGTCTCTTGCCTCGTGGATTATAGAAAAGGTGCCAGGAGTTTCTATCCCATCTATTTTGTTCCTGAGTAAAAATGTATTCACCATTAGCTGAAATATATTGTGACTTTCTGGGGCAGTCTTCCAGTCTGCTGGGATCTCCAGAAACCTGTTTCTATTTGGCTAATGCCATAGATTTGCAGTGATACACAACCAGAATCAGTAAACTAAAATCAATACATTACACACAGTCACATTTGTTTAGCTGATTATATTCAAAACGCTTCTTTTTTAAATGTGAAAAAAAAAACCAAATATATTTGAATCTGAAATACAAATTGCACAGGTTAGTGGATATTAAATTTGCCAACAGGTGCTATTAACTTGTATCTCACTTTTTTCTGCACTTACGAGAGAAAATAAGGGTAATGCAAACAGTTGAGAAGTGCTGACTTTTTAGGTGCCACCACTGCATTTAGGGATGGTCTGGTTCTTCCTCACCAGAGGAGAGTTAGTAGGAACTGACTATTATTTGCAGCCAGGATTTTATTCTCCTCCCTGTGAGCAGAGAGGGCTCACACAGCCAGGACTAGAGCACAAGCCTGGGACCCTGTAAATGCAGGTAGTGACAGACTTTGGAGTTTTAGCCAGTCCTTAACTCTTAGTGCATCCCTCTTGGTAGTTATAGATTGCAATAATATTATGTATCTCTTTGGGCTGAATTTCTGTGAAATCTGACATGTTTTTGAAAATTAGAAAATACAGCATGAGGAATTGAACGTGCTATTAGAAACCAGGTGGGATAGGCAGCTGTGGCCAAACCAACTGTTTAACAATCTAAAAACCAAACTGGCAAGTTTTCAGAAGAGAAAAGACAGATGGAAGGAAAAGTATAAAAATCCCAGATACCCCCTTCTTCTAAACCTACACAGCTGTTCAAGACTGCTGAGTAAAATTTGGCCTGGTAGATTTTAGTCAGCTGCAAAAATCTTATCACTTGTCACTTGATGAAGACAAAAAGTGTGCCCTCTGCACATGACACTAAACGTGGGTGCATATGACTAGTAACTTCTTACTGGCTAGATCAGGAAGATTTTAAATAACCTATTGCAGATCATTTGTTTTGCCCAACAGACTTGCACATTATGGTTAACAAAGCACTGCAAAATAGATCGTAAAGGGTTCTTTTTTCTTTTCCCTTTTTCTGTTTCAGATCCTAATTTTTCTCCTTTATTATTTTTATCCTTTCTTGCCGTTATCAAGGTACTTCTATTGGCAATAAAGCAGAGTTAAAACAATTAAAGAGGTAAAAACCTGCCTATTTTTAAAAAGAATATTTCATTCCTAAAAAATGAGAACAGAACAAAAATTTAAAAAAACAGTTAAGGAATCGGTCTTTTCCTCTGCAGAACAACTTAATATGAGGAACCACCGGGCTGTATAGTTTGAGTGAAAATGAAGCAGCGATGTCTGTGGTCCATTCTGGAACCAAATTCCTGTTGTAATTGGTGGCAGTTAGCACTAGATCCTAGAAATCATATACTTGCAAATTACACTGTATTTTTTTCTCTTTTTTTAAATAGGTTCACTCCTTTTGCAAATGGACCAGATGACACCCCAGAGGAGATTCTGGCCAGGATTGGCAGTGGCAAATATGCACTTACAGGAGGAAACTGGGATTCAGTATCTGATACTGCAAAGGTCAGTGAATGCTTTCTCAGATTTTTTTCTTGTTCTCTGAAACGGGCTTGCAGTCTGCAACTGTAACAAACTTAAGAGAGAGATAGTCAGAAGGGTTATTTCTCAGCGCCTCATGAAATAAAAGCTTGCTTCTTTATGTTTCTGTCACTCCGCATGAAATAGCGTGTCAGGAATTTTGGTAGTTTATTTCATTAAACTAAAGCATAATATAGCACCATCAATTGTGAATGCTCTTGAGATTTAAATAGCATAGAACTCTTTTTTGGTGCAATTGAACTTTTAAGTGTGGGGTAGTCAGTGCCACAAATTCATGGTCTATATGTGAATCACCTTTTGTGAATCCAACCAGGAGCAGGCAGTTTACAAACTAGCATCTTTAACTCCTGTACGGTTCACAGTTTAGGCTGCCCAACTATCACAAAGCATGGAAACCTCAGGAGATAAAATTAATCTGGTGCTGAGACTTTTGGGCATGAAGATGTGCGCTGGTCTATGAGACAGGTAGACGGGTAGAAAAGCTGGCAAGCTTCCAGTTGCCTGGCATTAATCAGAAACTTTGACAGGATTTAGAGATTCCTGCAAGAGATTTCAGTTTTAGCAACTGGTAGTATCCAGTGGAAGAACACTGATATATCCCACCACAAAACTGCAAGCAATCCTAGTAACATATTCATCTTGCTACCGACACCTATGAGCCTCACAATTAATTTTTTATCAGATGTCCAGTTTTGAAATTAAAACATTCAGACGTGGTAGAATTGACCTCATTGAATTTTAACCACCTGAATGTTAGATTTCTATTCTAAGCTTCTCTTGTAAACGTGCTTTGGAGTCAGTGAGGAGGTGCCTCCAGATGGCATCCTCTCTAGGTGGAGTTTATCACCCCTATGAGGTCACCAGTAATTAACACTCACTCAATAAGCTGAATACCCTCCACACTATCTTTTGACTGGATTATCAACTGAGAGTTGAACATTACACTTGAAAATTTTGAAGATCAGACTTTACACTTAAAAAATATAAAGCACATCTAAAGTGCATCCCTCTCTCCATTGGACGTGCTGATGATGACACTGCCACCGGGAAGATCTTAGTAAAACCTGCACTGCTATTAATTACTTTTTCCCTTTTACTGTTTTCTTCCTCTTAAACCCAGGACATTGTGTCAAAGATGCTTCATGTAGACCCTCATCAGCGCCTCACAGCAGTCCAAGTCCTAAGACATCCATGGATAGTGAACAGGGAGTATCTGTCTCAAAACCAACTCAGCAGACAGGATGTTCACCTGGTGAAGGTACATTCTACCCCCCTGCCTCTTCCTTCCTTGCAGAATGAGCTATCATTTGTGTAAATATTCTGGAAACTGATAAAGAAATTGGGAAGTTTATTTGCCACAGAGGCCAAATTTATATATGGCACCATATTAACAGTAAAGATTTTTGACCTGTCACCTGCTCAATATTTTTAACTTCAAGCTGCATTGTAGTGACCCGGTTGGTGGTACTCTGTGCGTGTACTGCCACCACTTTAAACCAGAGACTCCCCAGCTGTCTGCCAGCCTAAATGTTGTTATCATTTCATGGAAATCGTCCATGCGCATCCATTTTTTCAGGAGATTGAAATAATAGGCCTTTTTTGCCTGGAAGAGGGAGAGGGAGGTGAAAAGCAGCATCAAAGAACTGAATTTCAGCCCAGCATTTTCTCTTTCTCTATCTTACAGGGTGCGATGGCAGCCACTTACTTTGCTTTAAACCGAGCACCTCAGGCACCAAGGCTGGAGCCTGTATTGTCCTCCAATCTGGCTCAGCGGAGGGGCATGAAAAGACTTACCTCTACCAGGTTGTAGCAGTACCCTCAAAAGGCCTCTTTGAAAACCCACAGTTTATTATTTGAGAGATTCATCTTTACTTGGCTAGCAGAACTTTTTTGGACAACCTGCACATGAAATCGCCAGAACTAGCAGAAGCTCAGTGTAAGGCAAAGTTCTCCTTTGCTCCGTCATTTCTTTTACATTCCAGCCAGGGTCCCAAGTTTAACAACTTCACAAAGATGTGCCAATTTTGCCAGTAGCTCTGTTTCCTTACTGAGATAAAGCCAAATAAAGTAGGTGTGCTCCATCCTTCCCATCCTAGGAAATACTATTTTTGAGTCCTTAAGATGTTCCATGGGAACACTGTTTTCATTTTGTTTCTCAAGAAAAGCACTTTTTGCTATGAAGAATGCAGTCGGGTTTGAATGTTTTCAGCTGTTCCAGGATGCGCCATGATGAAGTGGCTCGGCTGGTCACCAGTAGACGTCTAATGATCTCCACTCACCCCAGGAAGAGTGAAGGCTGCAGAGACACATGAATAATACCTTACTTGAAATCAGTGCTATACAACATGAAGGAGAGAGAGCTGTCGGTGGTGGAAATACCTTCTGATTTCAAGAAATCTTTTGCACTTTGCCCCTGCCCTCTCTGGAATGAAGCCAGCACCGCTCGAAGAGCGCGTGCCACCAGCCCTGACTTACTCGGTCTCCGAGAGCAGAAAACCTCTGAGAAACTTGGTCCTCTGGGGAAATTATTGGGTCTTATGAGACTGTGGGAAAGCATTCACGTAAAACAGTATGAGTAGGAGCCTGTGGGTCAGGGCAGAAAAAGGTGTCTGGTCTCTGCCAGCAAGCAGGAGGTCTGGGAGGACTAGGTGAGGGGGAACCGAGCAGCGGCAGGGAGGGGTGACTTTGAGGACAGTAGGCAAAAAGACCCGTGGCAGCGTGGTGGGGAGTACTGCCAAAGGGAACTAGCGTGCACGTGCTTGGGGGCCAAACTGGGACTCCCTTTAAAAGTGAGGGATGGTCCCTCTTCAGCAGCTGGTACAGAAGAGGGTGGGTGGGTGGCTGGGCTGCCAAGGGGCTGGGTGGGTCAGTGCAGCTGTCCTCCCACACCGTCACCGAGTCTGCTCACGGAGACTGGCTCTGGCGGGCCAGAGTGCCACCCTGGAGCAAGCGAGGCCATTTCCAGTCATTGCTCCCTGCCCTTCCCTGGCTGCTCACCCGAATCCGCCTCCATCACCTGACGTTTCATGTCCCTGCCTGGCTATTCTGCTCTACAGAGCTAAACTCCCTGTGCCGTGTGTGTGCAGAGAGTACCCACTTCTGAAGAGTCCAGCTAACTCTGTTACAAGCTTTAATAATAACAAACTATGAGGAGAAACAGAAGGATGCTCTGCTTTTATATTTATATAAATATGTACATGTGTATTTATATACATATAAAACAAAAGTTCTGTACCCTAATACCTGGATTTTCCAGGTGCAGGGAAAGAAAACTTTGTTGAAACGGTCTCAGCAAAATGGACCTTTTTTCTCATTCCCTGATTTTAAAGAAAGCGAGGAAGGTTTGTGGTGCCGGATGTGAACTATTTTTTTATTCTTTTTCTTACCCATCTTGGCTTACGGTGGTCACAAGCTGACCAGGTTTCTTCTTTATACTGCTTTTGTTAATTTTTGTTTTCCAAGTAAATTTTGTCACCTCAGATGCTTTGTGGGAAAAGCTAATGTGCTGTGTTGGCTTTTTTTCCTGTTGTGACAGGAAAAAAAGAAAAATGTGAACATGGAGCTTCATATGCTAGAGATGGTAACTTTTCCTTGCTGGGTAGTATGTGCATCTCAGTGCTGAACTGGAATTACCAGATCATTGCCTCAGAGTGTCCAAGGGAACACGGAGTTGCATTTGCTATAGCAATATGCTTCCTAAAACTATCTCTGTTCCAATGTTGACTGAACTTTGTTCATGTGCATTAGTCTATTTTTAAATTTAAATTTATTCTTAATAATTTAAACCGATATTTAATGTTCAGGTTTATGTGCTGTGCACAGAGGACTGCTGCAAAGCAGCTCTCCTTGAAGCCCTTCTCTTTTCTAGAATAAACAATGCTGTGAAACTTCACACAGTGGCTGAATTGGCTTGGACTGATGTGTGCGAACACGCACAGGTGTGTGTCTGTGGTTATATACGCAGCAGCCCTCATTCTCTCCTCCAGCTAAGCTGTGCTCAGTATCAGCTTTTTGCTGCCTGTACTCTTTTCCTCTTGTTAGAAGTAAAGTCTCGTATAGTTCTGCTAGCAGCACGCTGCGAGGCGAGTCCACAGGCAGGGGATATCCTGGCTGATGCAGAAACGCTCTGGCCAGGCCTTTTTCCCTGGAAGTGACTTCTGTCCTGAAAGAAGGCAAGATGAGCACAAGGATGCTAAGGGCAACCTGGAGGGAGGGCTGGATTTTCTGGGGTCCCAGCTGATTTGTGCTGCTTCAACAAAATGTATTTTTAATGGTCAGTGTGATTGTATTGTATATGGGCAGAAAGAGTGTTGTAAATATTATGTACAGTTTTTGTCTCCCCCTGAGATTCCCTGGTCATCTTTCATTGCTTCAGTTTGCTTTCTCTTCACAGCCATTGGAAACAGTCTAATCCCCTCTTGATATACTCAGTCTTAATTCTTTGAGCATTTTGAGCATTTTGAGCATTTTTTTCATCTGAATGTTATTGTAGGCCAAGTTTAAAGGATGCTGCTCTTCCCGAAGTTTAATGGTTTGAATCTCTTCCTGATTTAGCTCTTTCTAACCCACCAGCTATCACCCCATTAACCATACAAGGTTTGGGCCACATACAGATTGATATATGTTGATGCTCATTAATTACTTTATAAGCCTATAAATTACATATAATGGGGTTTGCTTGTTAAGATTTTGTTGCCAGTGCATGGAGATGTATGCACATGTGTGTGTGTATGTAAATACCTACACAAAAAACGTGCTGTCCCAGCTTGTCCAAATGAGAATAGAAGCGTAGTCAGTGCTTGAGGTGATATACAGAAGAGTTTTGTCTGCAGCATTCTTGAAAATCTGTCATTGAAAATGGTAGTGGTTACTCTGGGTGTGCATAGGTGGCTGTGCCCATCCGTGGAAGAAGCTGTCCCGTCCAGCCTCCCCTCTCTCCCAGCTGTACATCCCTGTGGACCCCCATGGCAGATCAGCCCCTCCTCCCCAGGCCTGACATGGGAGGTGCTCTTCTGAGGGTTTTCTGACCTGTTTCAGTCAAGATGAACCCAATTAAACCATTTCCACTGTCAGTCTTGCTGATCCAGCTCACTTGGACTGAAATACAAGAGCCTCCATCAGCAAATCCAAGGGACAGTCGCTCCTGGCAGAGGGGGAGGAACACGCTGTTGGCACTCGTTATTTCAGACTGATAGCACCCGCCGCTTCCCCCAGCCCAGCTGGATCCAGGTGAAGATGCATGGCCATGGCCTAATTACTGCTGCGGCTGCTTTTATACCAGCATCTCCTTTCTAGACTCCTTGCTACAGTATAGTTCAGCAATAAGCATTTATTCTTTCTAGGAGAACACTTAACTGAAAAAGGCTTAGCCTCTCTCTCTCTCTCTCTCTCGATATTTTTATTAACTGTTACGTTTAACTCCTGAAAGTCTAAAAATCACTTTGAATTAGATCATACCATCTTGAAGGTTATTAGTCCACAAAGTGACCTAGTGCCTTAGGCTACTTCAAATAGTATAGTTACGTTTCTGAACCATCAAGGTGTGCAAAGCAATGAGCGTCCAAGGCATACTAACGTGTATCTGTCACAGACATAGTCAGCTCATCTGGAGAGCCACTTCAAAAGCTATTGTTCAGCTCAGTAGAGAGGAGTCTCCCCAGCAAGGAGGAGGCATCTCCCCACCCTTCGCAGAGCTGGACCCGACCTCTGCAGCTCCAGGACTTTGAAGAAGCCAAATGGTTCTGATGCAACGGGAAGAGTTGCCCCGGTTCCTACATACCACCACAGCTTGTGTATACGGCAAAGGTGTGGGAGATGCTGCTCAGAGGAAGAGCTGACCCCTGTCCCCCATTAATTTTTACTTGTTTAAAGTCTGTTTAATATTTTCAAGTAAGTTTTAACAGCAGATAGCATTTATAAAGCCTGACTTTTTCAGCAAACCACAAGTGACCCTCACAGACACTTTGTAATCAATCTCTACATCTGAAAAAAATGGCCATCTGACAACAGATTTCAGATCACCTTGAGCAGCTCCCTGAGACTGCCCCTGGATACTGGGGATAACCCAAGCAGAGACAGCTGGGAGAAGGACATCTTGTGTGACATGATGTCATGACATAACATTGCGTGTCATGCTCTTACAAAGTATAGATTGTGTGTCCCTGTGCTTCACCTAACCTTGGATGTAATACTGGGACTCTTCTCAGCCAGACTTACGGTTAAATAGGTTTTGGACTGAGTTTGAAAGGGACAATAAATCTGTTGGCTTACAGGGTAGATCAGACTCTATTAGAAATCAGTATGCAGATCTTTAAGGGACAGGCTAGTTTTGCCTGTGTAGTGCAGTGCTCTCTCTAACAACTTGTACTCAGCTCTGGTATATCCGAATACATCCGGACCTTGATCAAGTATGGCAATTGCTCTGTGTCTATGATACGAATTATGCCAGGGCTTGGATCATCCCCTAAGCCATGAGTGCCACAAGGGTTTCTTATGCTGCCAGTCCACAGCGCTTATGCCAGCTTATGTGAGTGCTGATGCTAAAAAAGGCAGGCAGTCACTTTCTCTTGACCTCAGCTGCTCATCTGTCCTTTCACACCTCTCTTATCCAGGTCACCATGGGGCAAAGCAAATGTTTGTACGTCAGAACAAGTGGCTGGGGACAGCAGGAAGGCAACAGCATCTTTTTTGCCAGCAGCACCGTCAACACATTGGTGTGGCTACAACTTCGGTGTCGCCTCTCCCTCAGTTTCTGAGTTATGCTGAGCTGACTGCAGGTGTGGCTTAGAGCCAGGGCGATAAACAATGGGATGTTTGTACAGTAGCAGGTTTCCGATGCCAAGCTGTGCGCAGAGGGGGAGGACAAGTCCAGGCTTCTGAAAATTTGCCACAAGTTCATATAAACTCCCAGTAACCAGAAGGTGTAGGGTTACAGATGACATGCCATGGGGAAATAAAGTTGACTGTGTGTATTTTTGCCACCATTGACTTTATAAAGAGGACAGGAAAAATCCTGGGGTTTGTTTTCAAATCACCCATTTCTACAGAGGAAATTTCCTGATTTTGTAGAGTGCTACAGCTTTCTAGATCCTTCGTAGGAGTAAGGAAGACAAACTTGGAAGGTAAAGCAGACTACTATAGGAGAAAAGGGGATATCTTAGCTTTCACCAGAAATTTATTTTCATTCAGGTGTTTTGAAGCTGTATCTTA